GGCGGTGGCTTCCCCCAAGCGTGCCTGCACTCTGCTCCCTCCGATACCCCACAGCCTCAGCCCTGGCTCTCCCCCAGGAAAATCACTCCATCCCAAAAGCCCTGAGGAGCAGATGTCATGGCAGAGCCAGTTCTCATGAGTGATTTCTCTCCCTCCTCCTCCTCCTTCCCCATCCCTCCCTGTCCCTGCTGCTCTCCCAGACCCTGTTCCTTGCTCACCTCCGTGTCCCAGCGATGGGTCACCATCATATTTACTGCCGAGCCCCTGGCAATACCTCCCAGGAGATACCTACGGCAGTCCAGAAGATCTCCCTGTTCTGCCCCCAATCCCTTCCCCGGGGCAGAGGTGACGTCCTTGCCCCAGACTGGCCCTCTGCCTGCCCCTGTCACCTGCCTGTCCCCTGCCCGCCCCCAGCACCCCCAGCCTCCCGCCCTGCTGGCTGGGGGATCATTGCACAGTGGAAAGACATGCCGAGTATTGACTTGCAGTCAAATCTTGTCGGCCTCTGGAGGCCCCTGGATTGTTTTCACTCCAAGCAGGGCTTGAAAAAATACATAAATAAATCAATCGATCTGATGCCTGCAGAGGTGAAGGCTGTGGCAGGGCAGGGTGGGGCCATTCCAAACCCTTGTGTCCCCTTGGGTGGTCCGCGAAAAGCACCTTTCTGTGGGTATCACTGCCCTAAATGGGGGGCAGGTATGGGACACCCCCTGATCGGACCACCAGACTGGGGCCCGGGGGGTCTGCAGGTGATGGGAGGACAGCACTGCTGTCTCACCCACATGGGATGGATGCTGCAGTTAAGAGCAGTGCCCCGCTGCTCTGGAAAACCCATGGGGATGGGAGCAGCTTTTCCTGATCCATCTGACATCCCACAAGGCCCCTTTGGCACAGAGGGGGAAACTGAGGCAGGGCACACGACACTCCCAGGCTCACCCCCAGTACCAGATTCAGGCTTTGGGCATCCCTCAAGCCCTGGCCAGCGCTCCATGGTAGTGAGCATGCTTAGTCGCTGCGCTGCCGCCATGAATCCCTCGCTTGTATGAGACAAAATGACGTCGTTTTTCCCCCTTTCCGCTTGATGACTGTTTGTGATATTCTTGCAGAGGGCACTCAGCTCCGTCCTCAGGCAGGCAGGGATGGATTAAGCCTCTCGGGGAAATTGCTGCCTTCAGAACATGATAAAACCCTGGGGAAATAATCGGGAAGGATTTTAGCAACTATTCACAGAGCGTGTGCAGTCAAGGGAGCTGAGAAATCCCTCCGAGTCTGTACTTAGGTGCGGGGTGGAACATCCAGCCCTCCTTTCCTGGCCCAGGACCAGCTCCTGCCTCCCATGGCCCATTTTTCGTGCCATCGGGGTGCCTTCCCCACCCATCACATGCTGGAAGCAGCAGCTTCTCCCCCACTGCCTCTAATTGCTGCTTAACGAACTCTGCTTATTGCAGCCTCTGAAATGGAGGCAGCCGAGGTGCAATCAGGGTCGAGCCTTTCTGCATCCCTCAAAGGGCTGCGGAGGATGCACTCCCCCCAAAGGGAAGGCTGCAGCAAGGGGGGTGGCATTAATGACAGGGCCTTGCTTTTCCTCTGCAGTGCTCTAAAATGTAAATGAAATTCATTATTAGCAACTCCATCGCTAATTACCATCTAAAACCATTCATTAGCCTGTCAGTTTATTTGTTGGAGGACAACAGAGTGGATGGATTATTCCAAGCTCAAGAAATAGCTGAAATGAGCTCAGCCGCAGTGAACAGCGGGGTGGGAGAGGGGACATGGGGGGACACAAAGGCACAGCCAGCCCCAGCC